AGAGCTGTTTTGTTAAAGAAAATGTAGAATGTTGGTATATAAGGGTATATTTTAGTCTGGCAGTGGTACCACATTTGCATGGGGGCAACAAGAGGCCTGAAAGGTCAGACAGAAGGCCCTTGGAGCTGTCTTGCGAAATAATATATATTTTTAAAGTTTTAAGATTCTAAAAAAAGTATATTTTTCTCTTTTATTTATTTATCCTTTTATATATTTATTGACTATTTTGTTTTGTTGGGTAGCAGGAGATGGTGGTGGGTTAGAAGGAAACTATGCCAGAAATTGGCAAAGTTGGTACTGGGATTGGTGGCCGGCTCCATTTGTCAAGATTTATCATAAAAAAAGCTGTAGTGAGAGAAATACAGAGATACCAGTAAAAGCAGCAGCAAGAACAACAACAACAACAGCAGCAAAAGAAGAGACACCTCCCAGCAAGAACAGGGTGTACTCTTAATTTTGTAAATATATGCTTCTTTATGGATAAAGAAATGTATCTGAATAAAGCAGATAGTCTGTAAAAGATGCGAGGAAGTGTGGAAGGAATTTAGATCCAAGCCAGGTTTATTTTGACAAAGTTCAGGTGATCACCATTGTCTATGGACAGACAGACGAATCTGTGGATCACCACTACTCAAGCTGTACTGTACATCCTTTCTGCAAATTCTCCAAGTAACACATTGGGCAACTGAGCTCGGTATAAAATTAGTCCAACATGTCACTGGTTATTAGATTAGATAGAATTCAATATTTTATGTAGAGGTATTAAAAAAGAAAATAATGTGATTTTTTTTTTTAAACCCACAAATCAATGGTAATGAAATCATTGTGTTATCTGTTGTTGGTATCTATTGAGCCAATTATTGAACTGGTAAAGTGAAGGATCCTTCCTGTTATAGTCCCTCCCAGTATTTTCATGCTAATGAATGGGATAGTGAGTAATAGCAAAGGGTTATCACACTGTCCAATATTGGAAACATGCCTTTTGTTAGTTAAATTAAAGCAATTAGCACATCTAATATCGCCTCATGTGGGTGAGTTCTGGTGAACTGTATTTAAGGTGAGGCTGAGCTCATTCAGTTACTAGAGTTTCAGAATTGTCAGGAGAGGAAGGAGCTGCTGACATATCTTCATACTTCAGTATTCCAGGTATCTTATGTGCTGTATAATGGTGCAATTGAGTAGCTTATTCAATTGTTTTTGCTTACTATGACAAATTTCAGTTTGAATGTATTAGTCTTATTTTATTTCATTTTTTAGCAATCTTGTACATACGCTTTGTTCACCATTTCCAATTTAATTTGCTAAGATTAAATAAGTTTACTTATTTCATCTGCAAATTATTGGGTATTTATAGTAGGAATTTGTTTTTAACATGATTGAATAATTGAAGTTAAAATTCACAATTTTTTAAAATGAAGTTTCTGAACTAAACCAACCGTATTTGTAAATCAACCTCATTAACTCACTTCAAACTTAACCTAAACTACCAGTCAGTCATGGAGTGGTTTTGCAGCAGTTGCTACAAAGTAGACAGAGAAAGATATGACTGCATGTGTACAATATTGAAAAAAACTTCTATGATCCTCGACTGTAGCAGCTCCCCTTTGGTTTTAAGAATTTGAATCCCTAACCTAGAAAAAGTACACACATAAAGAATATCCTGATCAACACAGTTGTTTTGCCGGTAAGTGATTACGAATATATTGATGTCAGAGGATCAACATAATAGCCATACTAGCTTTTTAGAAAGTCAACAATGGCATTCTTTATGTATCTGGGGGCATAATGGGTCTGTGTATGGCCAGCCTTCATGTGACCGGTAAGGAGCTGTGCATATTTTATTCTAAAGAATTCAGTTACAACAATATGGAATCATTGAGAAATACAGCAAAGTATCTGTTGACAGCTTCCATCATACTGAAATCATGTTGTCAATTGCTTTTGGCATCCACTGAGCAAGTTTCATGCATTGGATATTAAGATTCCTTCATGATATATTCTTTCCTAGTATGAAAATGTTACTGACTAGGAAAGTAAGAAAAACAGGGTAGTCACACTGTTCAATTAGGTTATTGCAGACATGACTTTTGCAATGTAGATTAACCCCTTCGTGACCGGAGACGTACAGTGTACGTCCCGTCACAAAGTGGCTATATGACTGGCCACGTACACTGTACGTGCCGAGTTATATTAGCCTCTGTAATGCTGGTAACTGCTGATTCTCAGCAGTTCCAGTCATTAATTAATGCCTCACTATTGAGACATTCATTAATGAAATAGATTAGCGTATTACCACTCCCCTCCTGTATTCCCATGTTGGTGGGAGGTGTTAAATTCTTATTGCTTTTGCCTTCCTAACTGGAGCCTCTACTTCTCACGAATATTGCAGTTATTTGATTGAAGCATTTCTAAAACTGATTAATGTGAAATTTACTGAATATTGTATAATATGAAAACAAGAAGCATCACTACAAGTGAATAAAATTGCTGTTGCATAAGAAATGGCATCTTAGCGGGGCATTCAGACAGTCCATCATATTGCTTTGCGTGTTGTTTTTTCATAGAAAGGATGTAGATACCAATATACATGTCATTTGTGACTGCTACAATGTAATGAGAGATATTTAGCATTAAGTATCGGCCCATCGCACAGAGATTTCCCACTTTGTGTGATAAGTAATTGTGGTGGTCAGAACTGTTAAATGATTTCTATTCTCTATTGATTTTAACTAACCTGGAAAAAGCATACAGCTTCTGACTTTCCTGATCAGTATACTCATTCCAGATAAGTGTCTGAGAAAATATTCAGCAAAATGGCCAGGCAACTTGATTTTCAGAAGATCTGTGATGGAGAATTCTGTGTTGTTTTCAGGAAAGGTTTACTCTCTAGGTTGCCATATTAAGCCCAACATTTATCCAAGCATTACATTGGACTATTGAACTGGGTATAAAATTAGTCCAGCATTTGACTGGTTTTCAATAAAATTCAATATTTTATGTAAAGGTATCAGAGAAAATAATAGGTGATTTAAAAAAAAACACAAAGTTATCTGTTGGCCATTTCCAATGATAATAAAGGCATTCTGTTTTTTGTTGGTATCTATTGAGCCAATTTTTGAGCTGCCAAAGTTAAGGATCCTTTCTGACATAGTCCCTCCCGGTATTCAAATGATAATGACTTTGATGGTAAATAATAGCGAAGGATTATCACACTGTCCAATATTGGTAACAGGCCTTTTGTTAGGTTAATTAAACCATTTAGCAAATATAATATCACCTCATGTTGGTGAGTTGTTGTGAATTGTATTTAAGGTGAGGCTGAGCTCAGTCAGTTACTAGAATTACAGACTTTCACGAGAGGAAGGAGCTGCTGAGTTATCTCTATACTACACTATTCCAGGTATCTATACATTGTAAAATGGTGCAGTTGAGTAGTTTGCTTACTATGACAAATTTATTTCAGTTAGAACTTATTACAGACTTGTTTTATTTCATTTTTTAGCAATTTTGTACATATATTTTGTTCACCATTTCCAATTAAATTGCTTTAGATTAAATAAGTTTATTTTATCTGTACATTATCAGGCTTTTAAAGGCAGTAGGATTTGCTTTTAATAAAGCTGGTTAACATTTTCACTTTAACAAATACAATGTTGTTAGGGGAAGATTCTAAACTGCTTCAAAACAAAAATGGGAATCGATCATAATGCAGTATGATTAGCTGGTACAATCCAACACTATGGTAATGTCCAATGAATCGTAAACCCTATGGGACTGCTACTGCACACATTGAGGGGAAAAAACATAATACTGTAATAGTGAAAACAAAAAGAAGAAAGGGCACAGCACCTCGTGTATTACTAAAAATAAGTAGAAAGAAAATAACTAAATTTGCATTAAAATTGACTAAAAGCGCAACCAGCTTTCGAATATCTTTGGCAATGTACGAGGTTCTGCGTCCTCTTTGTTTTTTAAATCACATTCTGTAGCTTTCAGTCCTTCATCAAGAATATCACAAGACACACCAGACTGGAGTTAAAACGTTCATAGGAAATGTCCAGCCGTATGAGATAGGCCAAGTGGAAAGCTGCTGTGCACTCCGAGAGAGTCTGAGATAAGTAATCTAAAATAAAATCCCCAGTACCTCTTGCTACATTCATGTTTTTTGGGGCCATGCCCCTTCATGAGGCACAGTGTTAAGGGGACACATCACTGAAACATGCTAGTGTAGTGATTGTCATCCAATATTACAATTATGATCCCCTTTCCTTGCATCAATTTGGGTCATGATTGTAGTTTACTTCACATAGGTATTCCCAGATCTCACAGCAGAGTGTTTCACCTGGCTTGTCTCCTCTCCTATTGCCGGACATTTTGTGACAGTTTTAACTTTAGTCCTGTGTGAACTGGATTTTTTTGGGGAAGTTATTCTTCGTGAAATGCCAAGATCTAATACATATCAATATATCTTTATTAAAGTAGTTTTATGTGCATTATTCAGTGCACTCTGTTTATTCTTTTTGGTGCTGCGGGCAATGAGGAAGTGGTTCAGTTAGCAAAACTTCAAAACGCAATATCTGATCTCAATCTGTTAATATTAAACGCAATATCTGATCTCAATCTGTTAATATTGATATTAAGTGATAACTTTTATTTTTCATACAGATATACTAATAAGCCCAATTAACCTTTCAACACCTACTGTGTTAAACATTTGCAGCTATACAGAACTTCGTTATCACAAGATGAATAAAGTTGGAGAGAAGCCAAATGAGTGTTCCAAGTGTCAGAAGAGTTTTCCTGATAAGTCAAAACTAAAGGTTCATCTTAGGATTCATACAGGAAAAAAACAATGTATATGTCCAGAATGCGGAAAGTGCTTCTCACAAAGTTCACATCTTACTGAACACCACAAGACTCACACAGGAGAGAAACCATTTGAATGTTCAGAATGTGACAAGTGTTTCTCACGGAAGTTTACTCTTATTAAACACCAGAGGATGCACATCGGAGAGAAAACATTTGAATGTTCAGAATGTGGAAAGTGTTTCTCACATAGTACAAGTCTTACTCAACACCAGAGGACTCACACAGGAGAGACACCATTTAAATGTTCAGAATGTGGAAAGTGCTTCTCACATAGTACAAGTCTTACTCAACACCACAAGACTCACACAGGAGAGAAACCATTTAAATGTTCAGAATGTGGAAAGTGCTTCTCACATAGTACAAGTCTTACTCAACACCACAAGACTCACACAGGAGAGAAACCATTTAAATGTTCAGAATGTGGAAAGTGCTTCTTACATAGTACAAATCTTACTAAACACCACAAGACTCACACAGAAGAGAAACCATTTCAATGTTCAGAATGTGGAGAGTCCTTCTCACAGAGTACAAGTCTTACTCAACACCACAAGACTCACACAGGAGAGAAACCATTTAAATGTTCAGAATGTGGAAAGTGCTTCTTACATAGTACAAATCTTACTAAACACCACAAGACTCACACAGAAGAGAAACCATTTCAATGTTCAGAATGTGGCAAGTGCTTCTCACAAAGTTCTACTCATACTCGACACCACAAGACTCACACAGGAGAGAAACCATTTAAATGTTCAGAATGTGGCAAGTGCTTCTCACAGAGTTCTAATCTTATGTCTCATCAGAGGATTCACACAGGAGATAAACCATTTAAATGTTCAGAATGTGGAAAGTGCTTCTCAACAAGTTCACATCTTACTCAACACCAGAGGACTCACACAGGAGACAAACCATTTCAATGTTCAGAATGTGGAAAGTGCTTCTCACAGAGTTCTAATCTTACTCAACACCAGAGGACTCACACAGGAGACAAACCATTTCAATGTTCAGAATGTGGAAAGTGCTTCTCACAGAGTTCTCATCGTATGCATCATCAGAGGATTCACACAGGAGAGAAACTACATAGAGAATGTGGCAAGGAGTTTTCATAGACCACAAATCTTAAGTAACATGAAGATACACACACTGGAGAAGCCATATTCATCAATATGATCAATATTTTACATGTAAATAAACTCAGATCTTGTTTTAAAAGCTTCACAGAGAAGATAAGCCATATACTTATTGTTGTATTGAAAGCTTTTCATTCCCATACATGCAAATAAAACAGTTTTAATATACCTTTTTAATTTATGTTATAGAATTGATTAGTATTGCAGCCACAAACATATTTTTAATTGCCACACACATTTTTAGAAGATGGCTGCATTGCAAATATGTAAAATAAGTTTGAACACTTGATCAAACTTTTTAGAAATACCCAAATGATTGCAAAATAAACTGTAACTATGCTAATTATTCATGGATTGATTTTTATCAGTTTACCCTTAAATCATGTTTTTAAGCTTGGTGTAAAAGTCTGAATTCGGTTCTATAGTTTGTCTAGGAGAGAAGGTTTAAACTCTCCACAACTATATTCTAAAACCAAAAGAAATCTGTTGTCAGGAGTTAGGTTTTAAATTGTTAGTGACAACAGTGATATTTTAGACACAGGAGGAACTGCTATGTTCTTATATTTCTTGGATACTCTGGGAGTGTTAGATCTTTCCTGACCTATGTGTGTTCCAACATTTCTTGTATTCTCCATAATATAAAATAAAAACAATAATATGGACAATTGAAACTCTATATAATATGGCAAGCAATTGTGCAAGCACAGAACAATATGCAGATATCTGTCCAACAAAGTCCCTGAGAGATAGAAGAAACATTACTTTTCAGAATTAAATATAGTTTTGTTTTAGATATTTATCCCTATTTACTACATAATGTCAATTTGTACTATTGTTTAATGTTTTACATTTTTAATGTGTGCTTTGAAATAATAAAGCCTAAGCCCGCTGACATCATTAAGTCTATGCAAGTTCTATTTACTAGCATTGTATGTGAGGACAGCGAGGGTCAGAGAGAGCCAGAGAGAGGTGAGGGCTAACTGCCAGAGGACTGAAGGACAGATGAGTGTATCTTCTTTATTCTGCTCCCTAGGGCAAAACAATGGGTAGCCCCACTGCAACAGTTTTTAAAATCCTAGAGATCCGTCTTAACCCTTTTGCTGCCAAGCCGCCCCCGGAACATATTGCACCTCAGCTGGCCATACCATTTTTGCAATTTTTCCTATTGATTTAATTTTCTACTGCTGCATTGCTAGCATTTGTAAAAAAGAAAACCAAACCATATATTGTCTGAAAGCTCAGGCCCGGTAGAATACAAAGATTATGCTACTAAATTTGTATGCCCTGCGATACTTGCGCAAATGTTTCTCAAATCAGTATTAAAATGATAAAAATACACAATTCAATTGATAAAGCACTAAAATCAGTATCAGTGCACACAAAAAAATCTGACAATCTAAAAGATAAAACTGTATTGAGTTAATAAATAACAAATATTTTCAAATTTTAAATTGCGCCTTTTTGCGAAAAGGTAAAAAAATGAAGGAATGCAAAACTGTTTTGCGCTGTGTTGGTGTATGTGTTGTGATAAAACAATGGAGGCATATATTTAATAGCAACACAGCATATCACAACGCATGGCAATGCATCACAAAGTTTTGCCATGCATTCCCACAGTTACATTTATGTGGTTTTTTTAAAGAAAAAAGAAAAAAATCATGCACTGCGATGCGTTCTAACAACCAGGGGCGGACTGACAACACATGGAGCCCCCGGGCAATATAAGATTATGGGGCCCCCTTGTGCTCCGCCCATATACAAGCCCCCCCACACGCTCAACCCACATATACATTGTTGTATTACAGAATTAGTTATCCGCAATATTTTCAAAATAGCAGGTCTATTCACTAAAAGTTGAACTTAATTGGTAGGAGAATTTTAAAATCTAGACCAGGGGTGCCCACAAGGTCGATCCGCGGGGATCCGAGAAGAAGTGAAGGATCCGGCGGCGGAGGACGGAGCCGCTGTCACAGAACGAATGCAGAGCGGTGAGGAGAGAGACGCTCGGCCAGGATCTGACAGCCGGCGCCTCTCTCTCCCCTCACTGCTCTTCCTTAGTTCTGTCACAGCGGCTCCGCCCCCCCCGCGGCTGAAGTGCTCTTTCACTTCTCGTCGGATCCCCCGCTGCCTCTGCCCGGGCGAGCAGGGGGGATGCAGAGGAGAAGCTGAGCCCATTTGTGCGTGGCCG